GATCAAATTGACTTTGCAGTCCAGCGCATTAATTCATAGTTCCACACCAGGACTCCTATCTTATTCCTAGATATCTTATTAAGTGAGATGTTTAAATAATTTTAGATTATTTTGTAACCTAAAGTTTTAAAGCCAATCAATTCACCATGACATGTGACCAGTTTTCTTCATGGCTCGCAAAGAATGAAAGAAGCATAAAAATAGTGAATTGGAAATGCCTAACGTAGTAGGGGAGTACAAGTTCTAGCAACCCCTTTCACAGGGATGTAGTTTTGTTTTTACTTTTCTATCACTCTTTCTTGGGAAAAAGAGTGCAAGACTAATCCAGCCAGTGCATTTAAAAAAGATTCATTTATGAAATCGGCTTTTGTCCTCATGGAGCTTCCATTTTAGAAATAGACAAGTAAATGAGTAAAAAATAATATAATTACAAATCCTGCTAAGTGCCATAGGGGAAAAAATGGCGGGTAGATAATAGAACTCTATCACATGATGTGTTCAGGAAAGACATCTTAAAGAAAGGACACTTAATTGGAAATTAAGAGTTTGGTATTAGGTACACGTTTGCATTGAACTTTCTAAATTTTATAAGTAATTTACAATACAAAAGGATTTCTATTACAATCAGAACACACACAATTTTACACATATAGCTTAATTCTTTAAATCTACCTTATTATTTTCTATGTGTTCCACAAAAATAATCAAGACATATGGCCCAAAGTTCAAGCATTAATTGTTCCTGGAGTCCAGGTGTGGTGCTGTGGGTTAATGCCAGATTTGCAGACATGATTTGCCTAACGTTCACCATTATTTAATGATAGTTTGATGATTTGTACCCATGCTTTCTTATTCCAAAATGTTCAATTGAAAAAAAAAAAAAAAGTCCCCCTCATTTTACCACATAGCAATGTCTACTCTAAGTAGTGTAGTGGTTACGAATCAGGCTGCTAGCCGCAAGGTTAGCAGTTCGAAACTACCAGCTGTTCCGCGGGAGAAAAATGAGGCTTTCTGCTCCCGTAAAGATTTACAGCCTCGGAAACTCTGTACAGGGTCGCTATGAGTCAGAATCGACTCTACGGCACATAACAACAACAACAACAACAATAACAACTCTAAATTGAGGGCAGAAATGATTCTTGTGGAGAAGCATCACAAGACTCTTCATGAACCTCTGGGAGCTTTCCAACAAAGTTTTTATAGGAAACAGATTTACAGAATACTTATCACTACTATGACAAAAAGTCAGTAGAGGAAGCAGTACCAAATATGCTACCAATGCACTTGTGGTAACAGCAGTGAGATGGGAAATGAAAAGAAGGTAGTCAAAGTATTTTCATGTAACAGTCACCTCAAACTTCCTTCTCTTCAACCTCTATATACCTCCTCTAATTAAAAAAAAAAAAAAAAATTTCTGATGCTACAATTCAAAACATATTATTGTAAATTGTATTGGTAAAACTAGAAATATGTATGCAGAAAAATGAAACAAGACACATATCTGACACCATACACAAAAATAAACTCAACATGGATAAAAGAACAAAATGTAAAACCTTAACTAATAAGATTATCAATGAAAAACTAGGGACAAACATAGGGGTTCTGATATATAGCATAACTAAGCTGTCAAGCATTACTAAATACTAGAAAACAAAATAGATGACTGTTGTTTAGTGCTGTCAAGCCGATTCTGTCCCGTAACAACCCTGTATAGGGTTTTAAGGCAGCAGCTGGTGAGCCTGAACCACCGATCTTGCAGTTCAAAGTGACTTTGCAGTCCAGAACATTAACCCACCAGGACTCCAAATAGATGACTAGGACTTAACTAAAAATTAGACACTTATGTGCATTCAAAAGATTTCGCCAGAAGTGTAAAAAGAGAGCTACAGATAGGGAAAAAATTTTTGCATTGATATATCAGACAAAATTCTCTAAAATTTTAGGAAGCTATAACACCTCTACAAGAAAAAGATAAACAACCCAACTGAAAAATAAGCAGAGGGCGTGAACAAACACTTCATCAATGAAGACGTTCAGGCGGCCAGTAAACATGAAGAAATGTGCACAATCATCAGTCACTGCTGTTAATTGCCGTCAAGTTAGTTCCAACCCATAGCAGCAACTCTGTGTACGGTTTCCAAGGAGAAGCTGGTGAGTTTGAACTGCCGACCTTGTGGTTCAAACTGACCAACGTCAAATGCTTATTAGACAGTGCCACCCATTAGCCATTAGAGAGCTGCAAATCAAAACAGCAATGCAATATCACATCAAGTTAACATTAATAGTAAAGTTCAAAAAACAAATGCTGACAAGTGTGTGGAGAGACTGGGACCCTGATACATGTTGGTGAGATTGTAAAATGGTGCAACCACTGTGGAAAATGGTTTAGAGCTTCCTCAAAATTTGGAAACAGAAATACCATATGATACAGAAATCCTTTATTTGGTATATATCCACAAGAAATAAGAGCCAAGACACAAGTAGATATATGTACACTGATGTTCATTATAGCACTATCCACAATAGCAAAAAGATGGAGATAGTCTAAATGCCCATCTATGGAAAATGGATAAACAAACTTTGGTATATACAATGTTGGAATACTATACAACAACGAATAATAATAATAAATGTGTGAAACACCTCATAACATGGATGAACATGGAGGGCATTATGCTAAATGAAATTAGTCAATCACAAAAGGACAAAGATTATATGAGGCCACTATTGTAAAATCTCAAGAAAAGGTTTTCATGCTAAAAGAAACATTCTATAATGGTTACCATGGGTGGGAAGGAAAGGAAAGTAATTCACTGATTAGAGGGTAGACACATGTTAACTCTGGTAACAAGAGGGGCAAAATAAAAGAAAAGGGAGATTAACAGAAGAATGATGAAGACTGGTGAAGAGACAAGGTGGTTTGCAAAGGTGAAAGGGGACAGAGGCAAATACTGTTATATACACAATATTGGAATAGCAGTATTCTGTGATTTATATGGATAGATACATGGAGTCCTGTTGTGGCGCTGTGGGTTAATGCGCCAGACTGCAAAGCCGTTTGAACTGCAAGGTCGGCAGTTCAAGCTCACCAGCTGCTCTTCAGAAACCCTATACAGGGTCACTGTGGATAGGAACAGACTCAATGGCACTTCACAACAACAATGGATAGATACATAAGCTGAGCATTTATGCAAGGGTGAATAGGAATATTCCCACAATTATATAAGGGTTTGAAAGAGGACATTTGTACATGAGTGATAAAAATTTGAAAATGCTTGTAGTCAACTAGTTTAATGGAGCAATAGAACATGTAACCATCTGTCACCACAACTCTGAGACCAAAAAAAATACATTGAACCTGCCTTTATGATCAACTTCTTTGAAAGGGATTATACAACAAGGTCCAGATTGTTGTTGTTGTTAAGTGCTGTAGAGTCAGTTCTGACCCATAGTGATCCTGTATATGGTTTCCAAGGAGTGGCTGGTGAGTTTGAAATGCCGACCTTGTGACTCAAACCGACATTGCAGTCCAGTGCATTAGCCCACAGTGCCACACCAGGACTCCATGGTCCAGACAGAATGAGAGAAAATGTGAAACAAAATTGAAATATTATACAAAAGACTAGATTTATTGGTCAGAAAGAGACTGGAGGAACCCAAAACTATGACCTTCAACAACCCTTCAGGTTTGGAATTGAACTCAGCCCATGGCCCAATTTTAAGTGAAGCAGTAAATAAGTATATAGGGAAAATAGCAACTCTAGTAAGGAGTCCTGGTGTGGCGCTGTGGGCTAATGCATCAGACTGCAAAGTCATTTGAACCGCAGGATTGGTGGTTCAAGCTCACCAGCTGCTTTTTGGAAACCCTACACAGGGTCGTTATGGGTCGAAATCGATTCAATGGCACTTCACAACAACAACAGTAAGGTATGCTCACCATGGAATGGTCAATCAGTCAAGATCAAAAAGGCAACCTAAGGACAAAATTGACAGTGGATGGGAAGGAAGGTGGTATATGGAAATAAAAAACACAGGGAAGAATTGGGAAAACTGATGCTATGTAGATGAGATTGCAATCATTGTGGTGAAACAAAGTGCATGATTTGTTGAATGTAAAACTGACAATTTCTGTAAACCTTCACTCAATTCATAATAAAAAGTTTTGTTTTGTTTTTTTATTTTTGGTCCGAGTACAGTATAGTTGTATTTGAGTTTTACAAATCATCAAATATAAATAACCTGAAACGGTAACAATACACAAAAATTGGCTTCTTACACAGACATACCAGACAGTACAAACTGAAAACTTGAGTAAATTAATATTGCCAGTTAACATTTAAAAACAAGTTTCAATGCATAGCACTTGATACTTTCAATCTGTTTAAGTCAGAGTATGAAAATGGTTAGATCTAGGCTAAAAACAATTCTTTTTCTAACCAAAAATAAAGGCATAATATTTATAACCAGGTATCAACTTTACTAATCCACAATATTTTAAAACTATTAAATGATACCTAAGGGAGCTCTGGTAGCGTAGTGGTTACGAATCAGGCTGCGAACCTTAAGGTCAGCGGTTCGAAACTACCAGCCGCTCCGCGGGAGAAAGATGAGGCTTTCTACTCCCGTAAAGATTTACACCCTCGGAAACCCTGTACAGGGTCGTTATGGGTCGGACCCGACTCGATGGCACTTAACAACAACAACAACGAGGGTATTTACATTAAAAATGTAACATGCATTGTGTTGTTTTATATCATGACTGTTTATGCACACTTTGTTTGAAAAGTTTCAAAACTATATTCCTACTTTCAATACAGTGTACTGTCATGGTACTAATTGTTATAGCAAAGTGAATGCTTTCAAAGGGAGCAGAATCATTTTCAAGTTGATGGTGTGATTTTTGTACCCCCTTTGGGACAAAGGACATAACAAATAGTCTGGTTCTGCCCAGATGACAAAACACAGTTAGAAAGTTCTGTCTGGAGGCATATTTCTGTTCAATCTAATGCAATAACTTCATCAATTTCATCTGTTGGTTCTGTGTGTGACTTCTTTGCACCGACATTCTCTTTCTCATCCAACTTCCTCTTGTGACCTTTCTCTTCTTCTCTGATGCCACCAGCATTATTTGAAGTGATTTCTTCATCTGAATCAACTATGAGAACATCATCTTGCTCTTGTGCTGTGGATGTAGAAGGCTGAGCTCCGTCATCACTGCCAATGGTTGTACTTCTGGCAGCATCTTCAGCTTGTTTAGGTCCCACTTTTTCTGGGGTATCACCAACAACTTCAAATTCAACATCTTTTCCTAGGTCTTCAAGCTGGTGGAATTTGTGGCAGAAACAAGAAATCCATTGCTTTCTAAGTCCAGGATGCTCGGCTGCTCCCATAATAAAAAGTTTTTAAAAAATACACATTGTTGTTTGAAGACAGTGAATTTCTTACCTAAAAAAAAAAACCCCAAAACCCAAAAACATGTATTCATAGGCTCTTAGAATTAAAAAAAAGTAAAAATTTAAAGCAAAAGTCATATCTAAATTTTAATATGAGATAATCTACCCAGAGAATTTAGAATATCATAAAATTGCAAAGAATCACACAGTCAGCATAATAGTGCATCTTTGGCAAGTGCTAAAGCATACTGATTTGATTTATTTTATGGCCTGTGCATTTGCTTAGACAAGAACCTAATGAAGTAAAAATAAATAAATCACATGCTGACACATTTTTAGTATTTATTTGACTAATTTTTTACAAATGTATCTTTTAAAAGACTATAAGCAAATACTTTTTAAATTACAAATGTTAAACAAAACATTTTATAAATGAAAACATGCTAAATATCTATTACAGGGTTGAAGAGGACTGGAGAGCAGATAAAGTTCCTAAAACTGATCATAATTTAAAGGTTTTTCCTGGTGTTTCATGATAGGATCAGCACTGAACTTCAAACCCCAAAGTTGGCCATTCAAACCCTCTAGCTGCTCCTTGGAAACCCTATACAGGGTTGCTATGTGCAAGAACTGACTAGATGGCACATAACAACAACAACATACTTTTAAGGCATTACTACTTGACTTGCAGTAGTGCTGTAGGATCAGCATTGAACTGCTAACCACAAGGTTGGTGGTTCACACTTGCCAATCCTTAGAAATCCTATACACGATAACTATGAGTCAAAACTGACTCAATAGCACTTAACAACAACAACCAATTGGCTTTGATTCAATTTGCATTCAAATAATTATGTATTCATTTAATAAGCAATTAGAGTTTGCCTGACCCTATTCTAACCACTAGCTAGACTGGGCAACAGAGCAAATGTTGTCACTGGTTGCATAAGGTATCTGAATTCAGTACAGAAACCTTTTGAAGAGTAAGCAGAAAAGGGCTTAATAATAATATTGCTTAGAATGTTTACAAATCAATGAAAAGCCTGGAGGAGTGGATTTTAGTCTAGACCACACAGAGTTTCATAGAATGTGCACACCAAGGGTTACTGAGGTCAGAAAGTTGGAGCATGAAGAGGCCTCAAAGGAATGACTGTGATCAATAATCACAGTCAATGCAAATTGGAAGCAGAAGTCACTAGTAATTTAGTCACAACTATCTGGAGTCCTGGTGTGAAACTGTGGGCTAATGCGTCAGACTGCAAAGTCATTTGAATTGCAAGTTCGGTGGTTCAAGCTTACCAGCTGGTCCTTGGAAACTCTACACAGGATCTCTATGGGTCAGAATCAACTCGACAGCACTTAACAACAAACAATTTCTTAAACCAATCACTCGTCTATCAGTTTTTTGTACTGTGGTGGCTTGTGAGTTGCTGTGATTCTGGAAGCTATGCCACCAGTACCAGCAGGGTCACCCATGGTGGACAGATTTCAGGTGAGCTTCCAGATGAATACGGACTAGGAAGAAGGAGTGAGGAACTACTTCTGAATATTCAGACACTGAAAACTTTATGAATAGCAGAGAAACACTGTCAGATTTAGTGCTGGAAAATGAGTCCCTCAGGTTGGAAGGCACTCAAAATGCTACTGGGGAAGAGCTGCCTCCTCAAAGTAGAATTGACCGTGATGACTTGAATGGAGTAAAGCCCGTGGGAGAAAAGCCTGCAGGACCTTCATTTGCCAATGGGGCACATCTAAATATGAAGAGAAACAGCTGTAAACATCCATTAATACTCAGAACATGGATGTACGAAGTATGAATCTAGGAAAACTGGAAATTTTCAAAAATGAAATGGAACACACAAACATAGATATCTTACACATTAGTGAATTGAGATGGACTGGTATTGGCCATTTTGAATCTGGGAATGACAATTTGAAGAGAAATAGTATTGCATTTATTGTCAAAAAGACCATATCTACATCAGTGATGAGGTACAATGCTGTCTGTGATAGGATAATATCCTTGCACCTACAGAGAAGACCATTTAATACCAATAATTATTCAAATCTATGCACCAAACACTAAAGTCAGTGAGGATGAAATAGAAGAATTCTACCAACTTCTTCAATCTGAAATTGATCAAACATGCAATCAAGATATATTGCTCATTACTGGTGATTGGGATGCAAAAGTTGGAAACAAAAAGTAAGGATCAGTAGTTGGAAAATATGGCCTTCATGATAGAAATGATGCTGGAGACAGCATGATAGAATTCTGAAAAACCAATGACTTGTTCATTTCAAATACCTTCTTTAGACAGCATAAGAGATTATTATATACATGTACTTCACCAGATGGAATACGCAGAAATCAAACTGACTACAACTGTGGAAAGGAGCTCTGGTAGCGCTGTTGTCAGGTGCCATCGATTCAGAACGGACTCATAGCAAACCCATGCACAGCAGAATGAAACAACGTCTGATCCTGGGCCAACCTCATTACTGCTGCCACACTTGATGCCATCAATGATGCCACCTGGCTGATCCATCTAGTTGGGGGTTTTCCTCTTTTTCTCTGACCCTCCATCTTACTCAGCATGACATCCTTCTCCAGTGAATGTTCCCTCCTGACAATATGTCCAAAGTATGAGAGACAGAGCTTAGCCATCTTGGCCTCCAAGGAGCACTCTGGTTGTACTTCTTCCAAAACAGATCTATTGGTTCTTTTGGCAGCCCATGGCACTTTTAGTATTCTCCTCCAACACCACAATTCAAAGGCATCAATTCTTCTACGATCTTCTTTATTCACTGTCCAGCTTTCGCATGCATATGAGGTTACTGAAAATATCATGGCTTGGGTCAGGCGCACCTTAGTCCTCAAGCTGACATCTTTGCTCTTCAACACTTTAAAAAGTTCCTGTGCAGCAGATTTGCCTAATGCAATATGTTGTCTGATCTCTTGACTGCTGCTTCCGTGAATGTTGATAGTTGATCCAAGAAGAATGAAGTTCTTGACAACTTCAATCTTTTCTCCATTGATAAGAATGTTGTTTATTGGTCCAGTGGTGAGGATTTTTGTTTTCTTGACCTAGAGATGCAATCCATACCGAAGGCTGTGCTCTTTGATCTTCATCAGTAAATGTTTCAAGTCCTCTTCACTTTCGGCAAGCAAGGTTGTATCATCTGCATATTGCAGGTTGTTAACGAGTCTTCCTCCAATCCTGATGCCATGTTTTTCTTCATAGAACCCAGCTTCACGTATTATATGCTCAGCATATAGGTTGAATAAGTATGGTGAAAGAACACAACCTTGTCGCACACCTTTCCCAGTTTTAAAACATTCAGTGTTCCCATGCTCTGTTCAAACAACTGCTTCTTGGTCCAGGTACAGATTTCTCAGAAGTTCCGGAATACTCATACTTCACAATGTTGTCCATAGCTTGTCATGATCCACATAATCGAAAGCCTTTGTGTAGTCAATAAAGCACAGGTAAACATCTTTCTGATATTCTCTGCTTTCAGCCCAAGATCCATTGGACATCAGCAATGATATCTCTCGTTCCACGGCATCTTCTGAATCCAGCTTGAACCTCTAGAAGTTCTCTGTCAATGGATGATTGTAGCTGTTTCTGTATTACCTTTAGCAAAAGTTTACTCGCTTGAGATATTAAAAAGATTGTCCAGTGATTTCCACATTCTGTTGGGTCACCTCTCTTTTAACAGGCCCAAATATGGATCTCTTCCAATCAGTCAGCCAGATAGTTGTCTTCCAAATTTCTTGGCAGAGATAAGTGAGTGCCTTTTGTGCCGCCTCACTTTCTTGAAAGATTTCAATTTTTATTCCATCATTACCTGGCGCCTTGTTCTTTGCCAATTCCTTCAATGCACTTTGCACTTCCTCTCTGAGTATCATTGGTTCTTGATCATATGGTACCTCTTGAAATGGTTGAACATTAACCACTTCCTTTTGGTACAATTTCTCTGTGTATTCCTTCCATCTTTTCTTGATGCATTCTGCATCATTCAATAATTTCCCCAGAGAATCTTTCAATAACAAAAGTCGAGGCTTGATTTTTTTCTTCAGTTCCCCCCAGCTTGAGATATGTTGACTGTGTTCTTCTTTTTTTGTTTTCTAATTCCAAATCTTTGCATATTTTATTATAGTATTTGGTTTTATCTTCTCAAGCTGATCTTTGAAATTTTCTGTTCAGCTCTTGGGCCTCTTGTGAGCCGCAAGTTCAGCAGTTCAAAATTACCAGCTGTTCCGTGGGAGAAAGATGAGGCTTCCTGCTCCCATAAAGATTTATAGCCTTGGAAACCCTATGCAGGGTCATTATGAGTTTGAACCGACTCCACAGCATATAACAACAACATCTGTGGAAAGAGATGATTGAAAAGCTTCATATCATCAGTCAAAACAAGTCAAGGGCAGATTGTGGAACAGACCATCAATTGCTAGTATTCAAATTCGTAATGAAGCTGAAGAAAATGCAAACAAGCCCATGAGAACCAAAATATGACCTTGAATACTATACCACCTGAATTTAGAGATCATCTGAAGAACAGATTTGATACATTCAACACTAAAGACGAAAGACCAGAAGAATTGTGGGATGACATCAAGAATATGATACATTAAGAAAGCAAAAAGTCACTAATAAGACAAGAAAGAAAGAAAAGATAAAAATGTATGTCAGAAGAGACACTGAAACTTGCTCTCCAGCGTATAAATGCTAAAGCAAATGCAAGAAATGAGGAGGTACAGGAGCTGAACATAAAAATTCAAAGGTCAATTTGAGAAGATAAAGTCAAATATAGTTGTCTTCCAAATGTCTTGGCATAGAGGAGTGATTGACTCCAGTGCCACCTCACTTTCTTGAAAGATTTCAATTATTTCATCAAGTTCTGGAGCATTGTTCTTTGCCAAT